ATGTTTAGCTTGTTAACTAAATATTTAATTTGTAAGTTAAATATTTAGTTTATAAACTATGACATTTATAAATGTATGAATCATATGATGAAAAACTGACTTTGAAAATTAAATCTGTTCTTTTTTTCTTATAAAAGGTTAAATAAACCAAAAATGTTGGTGGTAATTTTTGACTGTGTAACGTTACAAACAACACCACATAAATGTGTCTCTATGCTTCTACACTGGACTCAGTTTTAAAGTTAAAACAACAATKATGTTAAATTAATGTTTATCATTAAAAGTTTTGAGTGTTTAGTTTCTCCKCATCAGCTTGCTTTAACTTTCTTTTCTTTCCCAAAGTTTCCTGARGTGACAGAAGCTTAGTGTCTAGATGTTTTTCATGTTTTTAACCTTCTGACGTTCTGAGCAGAGGTCCTACAGAGCTAACTATGAGAAGACCAAGGATAAGTTCACCATAACCACAGATGATCCTAGGTACCAGCTGGCTAGAGAGAACAGGAAAATGAGCCAGGTAAAGGTCCTGGCTGTGCTGCTGGACCGCTCTGCCTGCTCGCTCCAGTCCTGCAGACGTGCATGAGGCTGTCAGCAGTCCTGATGGTCGCAGCATGATGGCTCTCCTGCTCCAGTCTCTAGTTATCTTCTCGTCCCTCTCAGGTTGCTGCTCAAACAGCAGCTAGACTGCATCTGTTCCCTCAGAGAGACACATTCATGTCTTGTTTCACTTATTAAAATCTTCTCAGTAAAGACCAAATACATAGATTATAAATTACAGATTAAAAGTCTGTCGCTCTGTCGGCACAGGTGGTCCCACCTGGCTCTCCGGAGTTTCTCCTCCAGTCCTCCCAGTTTAGCTTCTGTCTGTTTTCGTTATGTTCTCACCTGTGGCATGCTGTGTGTGTGTGTGAGAACAGAAAAAGTATAAATCCCGGGCAAAGGATCTGCTAAAGAGTGGCTGCAATGAGTTACTGCGGCCTGACATCCTCACCGCTCTGTGCCAGTCCTTTATGAGCAGCAAGGTAAACCGTCAGCAGTCTGTRCACAAACTGGGATTAAAATCTGTTTGTTTCTGGACATAATCTCACTACAATAAACACTCATCTGATCGAAACTTCATCCCTCCATTCATCCACCTAAAACAGCTTTTTAATTACATGCATTTATTCTCTTTCATTTTCTAATCCCTTCATTCATTATTAATTATTTCATCTTTAACTCTTCTTAAAATGCTTTCTGACCTGGAATGGACACTTCTAAAATCACATTTGTTGTTTAAAAAAGGTCACCGTTCACACATTTAGGTCCAAACGTCCAAACGCAGCTGGTTAGTTTTTCCGACCCTCACAAACTGAGACGTGCACCTCAAACTGTGCTGCAAACAGACGGTCTCTCTGCAGTGCAGTCCACCCACATTTACATGTGTTTTTATCACATCTGCAGAGGAAAATACACCCATATTTGTGACACATCGCATCAAAARGAGGATTAAATCCAAAAGTGGAGAAACAGGCAGATTTAGGGTTATGATTTAAATGTGTGCAAAAAACTGCATTTTGTCAAAATATAATGAATAAAAGCCTTATTAATGTATCATTTGAATGAACTGTCTGAAATATAATCATAAAACAAAAAATTTGAAGCACTTTTTTGAAC